GATCATTCTGCCACTGGCCAGAGACAAAAATTAGATCCAGTGTGTGTCCTCCCGTGTGGGTGGGGGCATGAACTAATTGGGTCAGGTCCAAGGCCGTCATGGAAGCCAGGAACTCCCGAGCTGCCGCCGACGTTTCGCCCGCCGATGGCAGATTGAAATCCCCCATGACTATAAGTCTGGGGGTCTCAACTGCCACCCCAGCTATTACGTCAGCCAGCTCAGGCAGGGCCGTTGATACATAGCAGGGGGCCAGGTATATAATCAACAGGCCCACTTGTACCCCTTGCCCCCACTTCACAAGGAGGGACTCTCCACCGTCTATCTGAGGCACAGTGGTCTCCCTCGGGCATATGCTCTCCCTTATAATGATCGCTACCCCACCGCCCCTACCCCGGGTCCTCGGCTGATGGAATACCTGGAAACCCGGCGGGCAAATATCAACAAGGGGCACTCCCCCTTCCATGCCCAGCCAGGTCTCGGTGATACCCGCCAGGTCCGCACCCCCCTCTTGGATAAGATCTTGAATGAGGGGGGCCTTGTTTACCACGGACCTGGTGTTGCATAACATCAGCCGATGGTCCTGGGCCCGAGGATCTAAGATCCCTGGAGGCCGAGTGGAGCCCTGAGGACCGGAGCACCCACAAGCTTGTAAGCAGCGTGTGCGTGCTCCCAAAACCCGATATGGTCCTCTGCTCCCACCATATCTGCCCCTCCCACTGACCGTACTAATCACACCACCCTCCCTTGACCCCCCAGCCTCCTCCCTCACTGTTCTAATACCGCGTCCCTCAGACAGGTCTGGCCTTGGCCTCAGAGAGGCCTCCCCCATGCCCCCCTTGGCCATCCACCGGACCTCCATTTTGGCCCCCCCCCCGGCCATCCAGCCGAAAAGGCTTACAGGCAGCCGGGCCCCAACCATACGAGTCCCCGGGCCTACGTCGGGCCTTCGCCGTGTCCATATTCGCGACCGGCCGTCTGATCTTTTTGGCGGCCCACGGAGCCACCGCCGGCCGACTCCCTCTAGCCACCGAAAGCCACCGTGGTCGACTCCCTCGGGCCTCCAGAAGCCGGCCGCAGGGTCTTCTGGCGAAGGGCCTCGGATTAGTCGGCCCTCGGCCTTCCTCGGCCCTCGGCCTCCGCAGGCACAGGCATAGGCATCCGCGCCCGACACCAATATTTGCCATATCTACATTAGTTTTTCCCATTAAACTGCACATTTCTATATAAAAGTGATCTCTCATGATGGTAAAAGCAGAAAGAACGGTTAAGAATGACATACAATACTCCTCACAAACTGTTATTTTCTGGTTAACCATTCTTATTTCTCATTTTTCTTTGGCATGATATTTTCTTTTGCAAACAATATTTTCTTTTACAGATAAATTGGCAAAATCCAAGGAATTTTCCCACGTTACAGGGGAATACATGTTAGCTGAGAATCTTCTTTGAACTGGTGTGTTAGCAAGGCAAAAGAAATCAGTGTGTACAATAAAGAGGAACTGCACCTTCAATAAAAGTTCCTTTGTATTATAATCTATAGGCAGACAAATAGAAGAAGTTGAAGGGAAAATATTTATATGTGGATTAACTTGAGTCCATTTCACACCAAATTATGGAATACAGCAAATGTAGCATAGATCTTCTTATTTACCTGTACTCCTTCAGGTAAATAAGATCTATACTACATTTGCTGTATTCCATAATTTGGTGTGAAATGGACTCAAGTTAATCCGCATATAAATATTTCCCCTTCAACTTCTTCTGTTTGTCTGCCTATAGACTTCAATCTGTTGCTCTAATTTTAATTTTGAACAAAAAGTACTATTTTTCTCTAAATTTAATTTATACAAGAATGAGCTTATATAAATATAATTTATATTTAAATTTAAATTTAAATTTAAATATAATAATAAATTTAAATTTAAATTTAAATATAATAATAATAATAAATACAAATCTACTCTTTCTTATATATCTGCTCTGGTGAATTGTTTCCTGATTTTTATCCAAGATATATGTTGACAATAGTAACTATAACTTCCCTTGAGTCTTGGATTAGATATTTACTAATTTATGCACTGTATAAGAAGGCAGTATACTTCCATTTGATGACACTCTCCCTGAATATCCCTCAGTTTCACCCCTAGATTTTTAAAAAGTTCTCAGTAGGAAATAGTAAAGCGCCTAGTAAAAATGTAATCTTATCAGAATGCTTAAAATTAATAATGGTGGTATGTCTCCAATAAAGGAGAATACTTGTAGCTCAGGGTTGAAATGAGGTTCCTGGGGGTCTCTGCGCTTGGTTGTTTGGTTGCAGGTTTCCTTACCCAAACTAGGTAATATCATTAGTACTAGTATCTAGTTTGAGTAATGAAACATCTGCAAGAAAGCAGCCAAGCTTAGAATCTTCTGTATCCCTAAAGATTGACTACATCATCCCCATCTCCCAAATTATTTCTTTCATGGCTCTGAATAAAAGATAGATCATCTGGTGCCCATCTCCATTCTGCTGTATTCACATTTAAAGATTGAAGTTGGAATAAACCAATAGCTATTCCCTTTGGGACTCTCTGTGCTCACAAGATAATTATAGCTCTTTTTGCTAGTTGAATAATGAGTAATGTGTAGCTGGCTCTGATCTGGATATAGGAATTTACTGCTTGCATGCCGGGTGCCAATAAACTGGAAATTACCACAGTAATTTACCAACAATTAACATATGATTGCTTTTGATTTACTTGATAAAAATATTTTTATCACTAGACAAACAATCAAATTAGAAATATAATAATAACATTTATTTCCTTAAAATGGTATTTAATAATCATAAAATCCACAGTAGAAAAGTAATCTTTCATGAAGCTGAGATAGACCATTAATAAATATTCATGAAGTACTGGGTACTCATCTATCTGAAAAATCACTTAATAATCCAGTATTACATTCATTCCTATTTCATTATTTAGATAGTGAGGATTACATGAAAGTTCTGTCAAATGGATTGATGGAATCAAAATATACAATGGAGTTACTCTGATCTTCAGTTTATTATTGTCAGAAAAAAATCCGTATATTAGTTTGTCCCAGCATTTTGGAACTTAATGATATTTTGATAAATTCATATTGGTACACAATAATAAAAATGGCCACAATTATTGGACTGATGATAGATTCTGAGAATCTGTTTTACATTTTTTCTTATTCCTACTAATTGTAGTCAATCCCAATTTTGCATGAATGAAGCTGCTGTTGAAAAAAATCTCCTGCCTAATGCTTGAAATAGAACTCTTTCCAGCCAATCGGTGATCATTGGCAGGACCAATTCTATTTCAGAAGAAAGGTTTAAATTCTTCAATAAAATCTACTAAGGCATCAAAAAAGATTGCTAACCCATGAGCAGATCCATAAGGAAGCAAAATTTAATCTGCCTGCTGAAATCCAGATTTCATCAGACACTCTGACAAATTGATACACCAGATTAATGATCTGTCCTTGGAACTATTTTAATGTTCTACACAAAGGTCTTGCAAATATCCCCTGGAATGTACAAGCAAAAAACCCATCTCATTAATTAGTTATTTAACAACCATAAAATCCCACAGTAGAAAAGTAAGCTTTCATGAAGCTGATAGACCCTTAATAAATATTTTTGGAATCAAAAGATGATTGTAGATATCTTTCAAAATATTGTGCAAATAGATGTAGTTACTGTGGATATAAACATGAACATGAACTAAGAAGCAACTATTTTTTTAACAAAACTGATGAGTATGCAATCAGAAAATAAATGATTAGTGTTCTTATATAAGACTTTATATTTCAGTAATATAGAAAGAGCAAATGTATACATTTCATTTTATCAACCAGTATTTTGGGCATTTATCAAAACAAATCTTGTCAGATGACATATTTGTTTGGAAAAATTACATAGACAGTAGAAGATAAAATGGAAAAAAATCACACCAATTAAAAACTGCATATTTCTGAACATAAAAACAATTCCTATTATCTAAAGACACTGTAATTATATAACGACTACATGCTTTTAGCTACATTCTAATACATAGCATACTGATGTAACTTTTGAATGCCCACTTTGCAAATTAAAAATAAAGATTTAAAAAGCTTTGATGATAAAATATATCTACAATATACAATGAAAGATGATCAGTATAATGAATATATTGCTAATAATTTGCTTAATGAAACAGTATGTGCAAAAAACTAAACTGACCTCATGAGGACAAATGATCCTTTTGGGACGAGGTGCTTCCTGTTGTAACTGATATACTGTTGAACATAAAAGTGCAATCATAGTTAGAAGAGTGTAAAGAATATCGGCATTTATTTTTACATATTTAAGGCAAATACTTTGAACTAAATTGAAATAAAACGAGAATGGCTGTAAATGGAAATTATACACGAACATATTTCAAACGTATGTGTAAAACAGGACTAATAAAACTGGGCTGCAGAAATCTAAATGACCTGTAAAGGGCAACAAAGAGATACAGAGAATTCTAATCTTTGCATTTACAAGTCAGACAAATGGACAGGCACTTCAGGTTTGGTATCCAACTGGATGACTTTCCTAGGAAGAAACTAGTGGCAAATCACTTCTGCAAATGGTGCCTGGAAAACTGCATGGAATTGTCAATATAGTTGCCAGGAGTCAAGATTGTCTCAGAGGCAGAAAAATATAAAAGTAAAAAAAAATAGTAACGTAGGTTTGTAATAATATACTTCATAAAAACAACATTGCCCATGAGGTGAACTAGGCAGAATTTCTATATAGGATCCATGCTTGACTTAACTTTTAGCTTCCTTTCCCTCTCTCTCCCAGAATTGCTTTCCATTGAGCTCTAATGATCCTATGTTAGTAAATGAGCTGGTCAGCAATAATTCAAGTAAATTAAATACAATAGAATATTACCTGGGTCAGCAAAAAAAAAAAAAAAGCATTGTGCAATTGCATTGTGCAACTTGTGAGTATTCAGGGAGTATATAAGTGAGAAAAGCTTAGCTTTTTGTAAAGCAGACAAACTGTAATCATTTGGTTGGTTAAAAACCCTCGTCTTTTTTCATGATTTCCTTTTGCTATTGCTGGAAGATAAATTCATATTTGCATAGGGATCAGTATTTACTGAAGATCTTTGCTGAACATCCCAGTTGTTTGACAAAGCTTTATTAGAATATTAGAAAAGTCAAACAATAATTGATTTTGCTCTATCAAAATTAAGTTTCTGTTGTATCCATTATAACTTTGAATACATTTACCTTAACTTCCATAGCACTTAACTCCTACAGAATGTGACTGCAAGAGAAGCTATTCACAATTTAAAAATCATGAGCCATGTTTCTTTTGAATGTTTGGGCTGAGGATACACAAACAAGAGTTCTTTGGGTAAAATTTCAGAAAGAAGTTTGGTACATCACATTTTTGCGTACAATAACTAAATAACACTATTTCAAAAGGAGACAATAGTAATTTAGCCATCTGTAGGCTTATAGGTTAGGTGAAAATCTCATTGTTTTTTGTTCTATTGATAAATGCTGGAATGTTGGAAGCTTATTCTCAGCAGTTCCTTGCATCTACCTGTATTAGTGATTTCAAAAACAATAAAGAGAAAATTTTTTGGCTTTTTTTCCAATAATATAAGGTGTGACGTAAGATAGCTAGGTTGAACTGTCAAATTGGAGACTGCACCAGTCCAGATAATTTCTCCATATTAACATTCCATGTCTGTAATGTTGCTGTGTTTATGAAATAATATTTAGAATTCTCCTTTTCTGCTGCATTGAAAATCCTTCCAATCCCCATTTTCAATTATTTAATACCATAGTTATTTTGATATTGGAAACATACATGCCACATGTATAGTTTAAGAAAACAGAATTGGATGCACAAATTGTGTAAAAAAATTAATTTCATCCATGGTTCCTCCACTTGACATCATTGCTCCATAAGTTATGGCCCTTGGAATTCATAAATATGTTAGATATGGCCAAATGATCACACATTTTGTCCCAAAACAGAAAAAGATCAATAGATGTGATTAAGTTTGCAAGGCATGGGCAAAGAGCCGGACACCAGATAAGACTACTATCTAAACATTGTGCACAACAAGCAATCAGAAACTCATACCTTATTAGGCCTGGAGAAAGATAACAATTCTATTCTATTCGATAAAAGACTGGGTTGTAGCTTATCTTCTTTGTGGTTAAGAGATCTTATATCTGAAATAGCAACTTATTATGCATTCAAGCCTTGCTTATGACTATTTCTCTGGCAGTTCTTGAATTCTGCTTGATTTCTAGAGAGAGATTTATTGCTAGGTCCTAGAAAAAGCTCTGACAGAGGTGTGGATAACAATAAAAATGATCAAATCCAGCAATCCATGTAATAGATACAAAGTGTGGTTATCATCTGGAAATCCTATCTATCTAGTCTTCAAATTCTATTCTTTAAATGCATCCACCTTAAATATAGGTTGTTCTTCAGTACAAAAAGACATAACTGACATTTTATTCAATACGCCCTTGGAAATCTACGAGACAGTTTCCAGGAAACAAAAGCTGCATTCAAATCAATGCTATCTGTCATGAATAAATGGCCTGAAAACTAAAAGTTGAGAAAAAACCATTTACCTCTGTAAAAATATCTATTAGAAGCTACTATATTCCTTAGTAGCCTTCAGATATCTTGAGGTTGCAACTCTGAGAATTCTCTAAAGAGTTGCAGCTCTGTATTTGATTACAGAGAGCTAACATTCTATACCAGGAAATATATTTTACATATATTACAGATCCATTCATTAATCTTTCCAAACCATTGTTTAGTTTAATTTATAATCTTTCTCTGGTTCAAGTTTTAAAACATTTGACTTTAGATCTTTAAATCCTTCTTTTTTTCTTCTTTTTCTCTAGGCTCTTTTCATATGTTATATCTCCAAATTACATTTGTGGTTGATATCTGCAACATTTCCAAATTAATTTTCTTCCCTCTTCCCATTGTCATTTTCTAGATTCTGAATACTCACAGTATGATTTCCATATTGGTGGTTGAAATTCTTCAGCATCTAGAATAGTAATAAAATAAATGTCAATTAATCAAGCAACCCAGTGAAAATATCAAAAGTACTGCCTTTTCTACAGAATGATTTTAATTCTTACATGACACTATTTTACTCATGTTGTCTCTTTATATTCTGGAATAATATTTTAAAATTCTACAAAGTAATATCCAACAGATATTTACATGGCTTTATTAAGGATTAAAAATGGCATTCAATGGTTACTTTCTCATCAAAAATCTCAGCCGTTGTCATATCAGACCTCTGCAACTTTATAGTATTAATATAATAATTAATAATTTGTGACATAGGTAGAATTTGGTCAATGATGGTAAAAGTGAAAAACTTTAGTACAGGACAGGACAAATAAAGATGGACCTGAGATGGACATGTTTTCTGTCATTTGCCAAAATCAGATAATGGTCAGTGTTAGACTCTTTGCAGATCAAATGAAGTAGAACAAAAAAACAGGCAATGTAATACCAGCAATCTCTTTGACAGATGAGGTAGAAATGTCATTATAGCCACCATCCTCAAATGGTACACATCATATAGATGATCAACAATTAATGGCAAAGTAGGCTACATTTTGTGATATGAAATAGTATTTTTACCACTGCACTTTCACACATTTATATGCTCAAGAACAATTACAATAATAAGTTATTGGTCACTTTGTGCAACTTGTATACACACTTATATATAACAATATCATTTATTTACAAAAGCTCTAACAGAACTTTTTTCTATTTTTTTTATAATTGATGTATTTATTCTTTTAATAAAAAATAAAGTGCATTTCTTGAGCTCATGCATTAAAATATTATACATACTCACAAGCATGTGCAAAGGCTATTTGCTAATTAACTACCTTGACTTTCAACTGATTATTTGGACTTACAATAGCTCCTGAAAGGGTGCTTTACATCCCATAAAGCATTCTGAGCCATTGTAAAATGTTGTGCCACCTCTCCTTCCCAAATCACATGACCTCATTCCAGGCATTTGGCACCTGGCTTATATATAGTACTAGTTAAAGCATTCTACATTCACATCAGCACAATTTGCAATGTTCTTTGCTGGTTTCTGTGAAAATAGCTTCACATTTACAATTGTGTGATTTGCTTAATGGTGGTAAAATCAGGTCTGGTCACATGGTTGCCTTGACTATGGTCACAATATAAGACGGAAATTCCAGTCCCATCTGTAATCATAAGTCAAGGACTGCCTGTAAAGAATGTTTTCTTTAAAAAAAACATATTAATCTGCAAATTAATGAGTTAATTATATTTCATTAATATTATAAATGATACACGTAGCATCTGAATGCATCATTCAGTGGAACTAGTATTTATTATTATACCTTCTTATTCACATAAACTATTTCTTGCTCATTTAATCTTGTCAGTTCTTTAAAGGTCATAGCTGAAGGCCAGAAATGACATTTTTTTCTCTCCCACTATTTAAGTATTTGGCATTAAAGCTTATTAAATTATCTTACTGAGCTTAGCCTTGATCAGTAATTAGATAATGTTTGGTTAATAAAGAAAAATATGATGACACATTGTAGGGGTAAAACATTTTTTTACTATAGTTTTTTTCCTTGCTATGCAATTTCAAAGAAACAAAGTAATTATTTATATTTTAATTAACGTTTAATATTTGGTATGTATCTTTAAAAAATACATTAAAAACATTGCTCTTGAATAAACAAATGACTCATTATTATATTAGTGTAATGAAGACAAGTACTCACTATTAGAAGTGATGCTTGTGGAAATACGCATATATTTTTTAATATGAAATAAGAAACATTTCAAATTTCCAATCTAAGTTTGGATCCAATTCAATTTTACTTATTTATATAATAGTAGCCTAATGCTGCAGTGTTCATGAAAAGGAGGGTTGTCCCAAAAAAGTTAAGATAAAATATCCTTACAAAGAGTTAAGCTAAAATATATTCAGTTATAACAAGGAAAACACTACAATGAATAATTACAGAAAACAGAGTACTATTTGCAAGTGGATCCAAAAACTATGATCTCTTGATTCAATTTGCTCTTTTTAAGATTGTTTGATACCAGATATATCAAATGTACACTGCAAAATTCAAATGATCAGAAATGGCAGTCAACAGTTTATATATACTTTGCTTCCATCTACCTGTCAGTCATAGACAAGTAGGCTACTTAACAGGGCTTTTCAACCTTTTCACCCATTGTACCACTTTTAGGATATGGCAATATCCGAGTACCACCAGTCAGAAGGTGGTGTCAAAACCATG